GCTCATAGACACAAGTATTATGATTTTTAGAAATGTGCACCATTTTATTAAAACCAGCAACAGATTTTGATTTCTTTAATTGTAATTAAGTAATACAGTATAAGCGGTCCATACCGACCCCTGTCTATTTCGGATCATTGTCTATTCCGGCCTTACTTTTGTTAGACTTTTCTCACTCATAGTTGTTACAAACCAGCCAGCATTTTGATAAAGTTTGGACAGGTTATACTTATATCTATAGTTATATATCTTATTATTTTAGTTTCGGAGAGCAATGCCAACAGTTATATGTTTTGTCTTTTTCTTAATGTGACCTGTACTTTTGTTTGCCAAATTGTGTATATTGTAATTGTTTTGGGAGAGGGCGTTGATAATGTTGATATAACTTGTGCCCAATCCCTTTGTCATTTTGTGGCAATAAAATATGTTTAAATCAAAGCCTAGTAAATGAAATCCATTTCTGTAACGGTACATTTGAAACCTATGCCTTCTGCTATTTTAAAGTATGTACATAGATACAAATATGAATCAAAACGTGGAAAGTGGGCTAAGACGAGAAGGAATTGTGGGAAATATGTCATTGTGTAAATATTGTATGTGAAATTCAAAACGAAATCATTATTAAGACTTTTTCCCGCCAATATTCAACATCCGGGAATTTCACATCCAATGACGATATCGATTGACAATAGATCAAGAGATTTGGTATTATTAAAAGTGTTAGCTTAGCTGCGAATCATTTCATATACATTCATTACATCCATTTATTTCTATTTAAAATTGCTTAATTACGACAGTTTTATTTTAATTTGTGGTCAAATAATAATTTTTTGACGGAAACATGTTTTTCACTATATATTTCTGTTATTCAATTGATCTGTTAAAAATAACATTCCATGAGAAAACATGAAACACGTCCCAACGCACCCGCCATGCACCAGACATCGAGGTGTGTTATGAAATTGGTTGGATTTCCGTTGACACAATTAATTTAAGCTTTGCAGAAACTGTAGTCTTCGTGACCTGTTAGAAACAACGAAACCTACTTCAGTGTCGTGCGTGCGTTTGAACCTAGGAAAAGGGAAAACAAGAAGCCCATAGGCCCTCACAATTACTTGAGTTATGAAATATTTTTTGTCTATTTGATCAATTTATGCCCTGTCCATCAGTTCCTATAAATAAGTGATAACGTTCAATCTTCCATTCCACACTAATAATTCTAACCAAGTTTGAATTGTGTCTGATGGCTATCTAACAAATGATGCACACAAATATAGTTCTCCTCCTAAACAAACTGGTAAAGTTTACCCTCTCCCAAGGGAAAATGTGGGATCCTTGGTTTATGAAGTTCACAATTTAGGTCAGTCAGAGTCAACATGTGCATAACATCAAACTGGCATGCCACATTGATAATCCTGACCAAGTTTGTGTTATTTCCAAGAAACGACAATTAAACAAATCATGATGGAGAGTGTGACTTCCCTATAAGATTATTTAAATTTGAGTCGATTCAGCCCTTTAAGGCCCAATCCATCAGCCCCTATGTGTCCATTGCACCAACATGTCTGTACTAATACACTGAAATCCCATGGTTTAAGTTGTAATTTCAATTAAATATCTTGTCACAATTGACCCCTGTGACAGTGAAAGTAGGTAAAGGTCATTCATTTGAATAATCTTGTTAGCTTTCATCCCAACATGCTACAGACCAAATATTATGAGTTTGTGCCTCTTTGTTATTGCGAAATACTTTGACCTCTATGACCTAAAAGAAACTTGACTGCCCTTCATCCTAAATATCAGCACGCCGAATCTCATGGTTATTGAAAAATCAGAAATGTAAATTGTTTACAATGAATGACAGATTACCAACATTGCATAGCACATCACATCAGATAAAAAGGCAATCGCAATAGGTCACTTTAGAATTTGTCTCTGGTAACCTAAAAACATGAAGATGGTGAAGATCCTGATCCAGTTTTCAATACCTTGATATCTCTTATTTTACCCCTTTCAGAAAAAAAGAAGTAGTATACGAATTTGCTCGGGGCCTGAAAAAAAAACATGGTACAGTTATAGGGATGCGAGATGTATCTGTCATCCCTTCATGGTACATGGACACATCTTGGAAAGGCAATGCTCCTGTCTCATTGCCACGACCATCAATTTGACCTCCCACCTATATTCAATAAAAGCAGTTTTTATCATAAATCAGAGGTGCTATCCATGAATTGTTGTGAACAGTGACATTCATGAAAATGTGGGTACATCAAAAGATGGCAGTTAGTTGAGTTTAGGAACGATAACTCCGGTTAGAGATTAGAAAACTGTAAAAACAACAAACACCATTCCCTAAACAGTAAATATAATAACTTTATTATTACAGGTAGCTTAGGTGTAGATACATGTTTTTGTAACTGTGTAATATATAATGAGTCTATATACTTATACATACTTTATAAAATAGTGTTCAATGCTGCGACTTAAGGATGTATGCTACATTGTACATAATTGTGACATCTTTGATAAGAATTCCAAACTTATCACTTATGAAATCTATTACAAATTGTAATCATGGCAATTTTAGTTTACTGGCAACAAAAGTGAATATATTTGGTTATTTCTTAAGGATGGGAGATAACTCTGATAAAAGTCACATTTTCTATGAAATCATAATCCTTTTTCTACAACTTGTCCACCATAAAGATAATGCTATATCTAATTTTAAAGCTAGAGATATGTATACAGGTTCGTTGATTTGTGCTAATAGTTCTGAGATCTCAAAGTGAAAAATACATGAAGAGATATACACAGATACATGCATATAAAGGACAGTGTTGATTTATGGGCTTTCAAAAAAACCTGGATTTTGTTTTCTTGATAAGAATGTTCATTCAACACATTGTAAAAAGTAACATTTCTTTGACAAATTCCATAAAATCATGGATTTTAAACCAAGAATTGAACTAAGAAAAAAATTCTAATCAAGGATTCCAGTGCAGACAACTATACAAGCATAAGATTAAAAGAATTCAGCAAAACTAAACCCTAAAAAATACACACAATGATATAAATATGTGTAGCCTTGATATTAATTTAACACAAACTAGAAAAAGATATGGTAATAATTATTTTCTATATATATAAATAAATCTCATTTAAAAGCATGCTTTGACTTCATGAAGAAAACTACAGTATTTGGACGGATTTAAGTAAATTGTGTTAAATAAAACAGAATATCACATCACAATAACAAAGATACAACGGGAATCACAGACTTGTACCAGAAATCAACATATCACAGACAGGGAATAACAACAAAAAATCAATTCACGTTAATTTCTCCCACAATAGAAACACTGTTTATCTTACCACAGATCTGTACAATTACTTCAATCAGTTATTTTATACAAAGTTATAACCACAAATATTTAGATTTACACGCTGAAACATATCTGGTCATTTCAACTTAAGATGTAATTCTTATAAAATATTTTCTGATAAATTTCTGTGTGGCAGATAAATGTTAATGAGTTTGTAATGTTTAACAGTTTTGATCTTTGTAATTAACATCAATGTGTTGTTACAGAGTAATTCTCTACCAAAAGTTAACGAAATGTTTCGTCAAATCTATGCAGATACAATTGAGATATTTGCATTGGATTGACAGTTTTACATAATTTTGAATGTGTATGAATAAAAAACGAAAACGTAGAACCAAAAAAAAAAATAATATAAATGAAAATTTTTTTTTTTTTTTAAACCCACTTTAACTTTATTTTCCTATTTAACTCTCTTTTCAAGGAAATCAGAAAAAATCAGATTTGGTATTGCAAGGTGTATGAAAAATCCAAATAACTCTTCATCTTTTCTTTTTCTCTCTTATCGCTTCATCTTTTTTTTTCACATATTGAGTGCATTGTATTTCGTGAAAAATAAAATGTATCTTTCTTCAATCTTAAATAATCAATTAAAGAAATTTATGCAATATATCTACCTTAATGGTAACTTAATGAAACAGAATTAGATAAAAAAAAATCAATTATGAAATAGCACTGTGTTGAAAAGGATGTTTTATAGTTCCTCTCGACTTCCCACTACTGAAATCATTACTGGTAAGTTTGACTGGGCAAAGAAGGAGTGAACATTAGACATCAAGAAGGTTCTATTACAAAATGTCTAGAAATTATATCACAATTTACAAAAAAGTTAGAAAATGTAAAAACGTATTGCTTTTGAAACACCACAATTCTTTACAAAATCTTCTTAAATTGCAAATCAAATTGTTTTTATTGGTGAAAAATGAAATGATGAAATAATGTGAAAGCTTAATTTTCCTTCACAAGGATGTTCGGACTTTATTTATGAGAGTAAAATTATTCACCCACGCCATGAGATTCATCCTTCCATTGTCTATCTCCAAGTACACGTACTACAGAATCAACACAAATATGTTACATCATTGGTCAAGGCTCAAAACAGTGCATGATAATTTTTCTTCATGTTAGGTCTGTCTGACGTCAACTGATGCACATTATATGTCTTTTCTTTATCAGGGGAAATTTATCGTTTTTAATGTGGCCTTTGTTTTTCTTTGATTTCATGCAGAATTAAAATCTAATCAAATTTTACATCTCCAATTATTAGATAAAATAGTAAATTTAATTATTCCTTAATCTCAAACCAACATAGCATATGTCAAATGTAAATTCTTAAAACCGGTCTTACCTGAACGTGACTGACTGTTCATGTTAAACTGGATATCAGGTTATGCAGATCAACACTGAGCTACATTGTGGGAATGTGGTATTCATTATCTTTAACAGATAAGATAATGTTCTGTAATATTAATTTCTTTTTCACTTACTTTTTCAATCAGACTATAGGATTTTTCCATTTTACTTTCTAAATACAATTTTGGCTTATATACAGAATTAAAATCTATCGGATTTAAATGGGAACTTCTAAACAAACTAGTGTTTTATAAAGTCTATGTTAAAATAAAAAAACAAAATGAAAACAAAATTTCTAGATCTAAAACAGATCAAACCTAATAAAGGTTAACTAATATACAATAAGTAAAGCAGGGTCATTTTGTGGAAGATAATTAAGAATTATCAACATTCCCACAGATTTTAGGTAACAAGGGCAAGTAATATTGACTGGATTCTGCTTGGGCTGTCAATAGTAAAAACAATCACCAGGTCAGCCCCTTTTCACAATTGTTGCAAAATCGCTATGTCCACTATGTTAGGAATGTCCCTGCTGGTGAGCAGAATTGTCTCTCCGTTAGTATTGTAACACCTGAGAGGATGATGTTCCTGTTGTAGACATAGTGTGAGACAAATTCCGCATACTCTCTGCCAGCTTCTCAAACTCCTCCCATTTTTGACTCTGAACAGTAGACTCCAGCTTTTTCAGATGGTTGAGTTCATTTACCTTGGTGTCCAATGTGTGCATCTGGGACTTGAGGATGTTGATCTCACGGTCCTTCATCTCCAACTGTTTATGAAAGAATATATGTCAGGTAGGGTACATGTATTGACATAATGTTTTAAACAACAGGTCTTCTCTACAGCATGCCTTGGTATTAAGCTAATAATCACTTTTATAAAATGGTCACAATTCATTCCAAACGCATTCTTACACAGCTAGCAGTCTGAGTGACGCTTGTTAGATGTTGATATCTGATGGCTAGTTCAAAAACTTGAAAAATGTAGTTTTCAATTGCTGTTTGTATTGGTGATAATTATCTCAAAATATACCTCAATCAGACTGATTACTCTCATTCTGAGTATACAATGACATTTTGAAAGCAAGGACGATTTAAAGAATGTCAAAGTGAAAATGCTTTCTGAAATATTTCTCCAAAAAAGGTATCATTTTGTGATCAAAACATTTTCAACTTGTTTTTATTTTGTAAAACATTGATAAAATTCTCCACAATCTCATCTTCTAAACATTCTTGGAGCTCTCTACCAGAAAAACTAGAAAATGTCTTAGACATCCAACTGTGATGAGAGAAAGTGTAACAGGGACATTCTTGGAGCTCTCTACCAGAAAAACTAGAAAATGTCTTAGACATCCAACTGTGATGAGAGAAAGTGTAACAGGGACATGGGTTACACTACATGCACGCACCCCTCCCCAATAAAATGGCTGAGCATAGGAAAAAAAATCCTACATTCTTGATGTTACTAAGTAGCTAGCTGTATATTGATGAATTTCTGTCAATTAAAATCAAAGGCCAATTAAAACTTGGATGACTTTATTTCAGTCACACTGCACGCATACCAAATAATATGTATGGAGTATAGTCGCTTGAGGTTTTATCAGTAAAATCAGAAAACATTCTATAACCCAACCTTCATTAAACAAAAAAAAAAGTGAGAAAGAAAAACGAGCTAGGGGCATTTTTATCACAAGTCAGTTAAAACTAAACGAGCTAGGGGCATATTTATCACAAGTCAGTTAAAACTAAACGAGCTAGGGGCATATTTATCACAAGTCAGTTAAAACTAAACAAGCTAGGGGCATATTTATCACAAGTCAGTTAAAACTAAACAAGCTAGGGACATATTTATCACAAGTCAGTTAAAACTAAACAAGCTAGGGGCATATTTATCACAAGTCAGTTAAAACTAAACAAGCTAGGGGCATATTTATAACAAGTCAGTTAAAACTAAACGAGCTAGGGGCATATTTATCACAAGTCAGTTAAAACTAAACGAGCTAGGGGCATATTTATCACAAGTCAGTTAAAACTAAACGAGCTAGGGGCATATTTATCACAAGTCAGTTAAAACTAAACGAGCTAGGGGCATATTTATCACAAGTCAGTTAAAACTAAACAAGCTAGGGACATATTTATCACAAGTCAGTTAAAACTAAACGAGCTAGAGGCATATTTATCACAAGTCAGTTAAATCTAAACGAGCTAGGGGAATATTTATCACAAGTCAATTAAAACAAAACGAGCTAGGGACATATTTATCACAAGTCAGTTAAAACTAAAAGAGTTAGGGGCACATTTATCACAAGTCAATTAAAACTAAACGAGCTAGGGACATATTTATCATGAGTTAGTTAAAACTAAAAGAGTTAGGGGCACATTTATCACAAGTCAATTAAAACTAAACGAGCTAGGGACATATTTATCACAAGTCATTTAAAACTAAAAGAGTTAGGGGCATATTTATCACAAGTCAAGTAAAACAAAACGAGCTAGGGGCATATTTATCACAAGTCATTTAAAACTTAACGAGCTAGGGGCATATTTATCACAAGTCAGTTAAAACTAAACGAGCTAGGGACATATTTATCACAAGTCAGTTAAAACTAAACGAGCTAGGGGCATATTTATCACAAGTCAGTTAAAACTAAACGAGCTAGGGGCATTTTTATCACAAGTCAATTAAAACTAAAGTTGGCCACATATTTATCCAAAATCCCATTGATGCATTACAGCTCATTTGATATTAGACTTCTGTCAACTAAAAAAATATTTAATTTGATACATTATTCTTCGGCTATAGGGAAAATATCTGTCTACCTTGCGTTGGAGATCAGAAACATGATCTACAAGAAGAGTCTTGTCCTTGCGTAGCTGAGCGTTTTCCTGTTCAATCCCGACCTGGTAGTTCTCAAGTTCTGTAATCCTACTACGAGATGTATTCACACTGAGGTCAAGTGAGGTAGCCACAGCTTCCTGCTTCACCATCTGGAAAATAACACCATGTTAAGATTATGTACCTTAAAACTGTGATTCAAGAAGAGTTAGCTCCCCTAGGACTCTTTTCAGATTTCAAATACGTCAATAATAAATTCTTCTTCCAAATTAAGAGAAGCAAAAATAAACAGAACAGAAATGTATGATTGCAACTGTCATGGAGGTGTGAATTGGTTCAAAACACCAGCAGTTGGTAACAGAAATGATTCTGTGTGATACAATGATTTATGTGTAAAATATGATGATTAGGAACATGCATGTGGGTGATAGGTTTGCAAGAAGTTCTTTTGAAAAGAAGATTTGGTGAGTTAGCAAGCTTCTTTTAAGAACAATAGAAAAAAATTTGGGAGCTTTGCTTATGTACCAGAAGGTACTTATTTTTTGTATTGAATGAAGAAAGAAATATTTCACTTTCTTATAAAGTAACAGCGTTGGTCAAGAGAATATGCAAATTTTGAAAAATTTAGGATTTTAAATTAAATGTCATTTTTGCCAAAATAGCCTGAAGACAAATTGGAACAGCAAAGTATTCAAACTTTAGAGTAAGTATTTTAAATACTGAAATTATTCAGTACATAAAACAAACTGTTAGAACTTTTTTTAGTGACATCATTTCCTGGTATATTTTTTTAGATATTGATGATAAATAATTTTACTAAAATTGAAACTTGAACCAAAAGTGTAATTGTGTTAAAATTTCTGCTACAGTCATATTTAGCCAGAAAGGTCATTACAGGTTTGTGGAATTTCAGCATTATGTTGTATGTTTATGCGAAGTATTTCAAATATTTATAAAAAAAACTTCATGTTCATTTAACAATGTTGGTTGGAAAAAAAGTTACAATTAAATATTTGAAAAATGAGATGAAAATTCAGAGCCATGCATGGATTAATATAGCATGTTAATGTCAAAGTTTCAGTTGTTTTTTCTGTATGAAATTAACAGCGAACTTTGTGTGAATCACATCAACTTTATTTCCATCATTGTTATGAAGCTTTATTAGTGTCTACAGAATGAAATTTGAATGCAATGATTTAAGCCTCATTCTTGTTGCATGCAGTAAAACTTTCACACTTTTTAAGAGCACATTATGGAAAACAAACTTTCCACTGTGAATTCACCAGCATCCATTTTAGTTTCTCTTTCAGTATCTAACTGAGAATTGTATCTCTTTCTGTGTATTTTGCACCATGTGGAAAAATGGACATGAATTAATTGAAATGAATCGGTATCTTCTGCTTCAACCATATATACATATCTACAGGTCTATATTTTTTCTCAAGAGTTTTTTTTTCGTAGGTGCTCATGGCAGAGTGAATAGGTGAATTCAACATCAAAGAGGACAGGACAGTTTCAACCGATCAAATAACACGACTTGGTAAAAACACATCAACTCTCCATTAAGTTGTGCTTATAATACAAATATAAAAACATCTTTTCAGGTCACAACAATATTATTCTCTTGGAAAAAACCATTAAGACATTGAAGCTTAAAACTCAGAATGATATTTTAAAATTGACAATGCATCAATATTTTTCATGATCACATGAGGTAAGCAGAAATAAGAGAGATAGCCTGTGGCCTTAACCTGTAGAGAGATCCCTGGTATCTGTTAGTCTGACAAGGCTTCTCTGTCATGTGGAAGTAGGCAGTTATGCTTTCTTGGTAAAATTTTTCTTCTATATCTCAAATCTAACAAGTACCATATTTTTTTTTTATTTTTTTTTTAAATTATTACTTGAATTAGTAATCATGTAAATTAACAAACTTTCTCTAAACTGGATTTAAACAAAATTTTATACTCACAATCCCCTCTTCATCAATTTCATTTAATTGATCCATCTTTAATCAAAATTCCAAAATATTCATAATATCCTAAGTGAATCTAATTATGTAAACTATTTGTAATTAAAATGCATGAACCATAACTGTCCATTGGTTTGATTTTCTATAATAGATTTCGTCCTGATGGTTGTCTATGGTCAGGTTTATTTCTGAGTATGATTTTCTGTGGTAAAATTTAAGCTGGATGACTTTCTGTAGTCAAATTCCTCTCTTGAGTTTCTTAAGTTATAGATTAATCTGAACACTTTCAATACTGTATAATTTAACTTAAAGATAGACACTATAATATACCTGGAAAATTCAAATGTTTTGAAGACAACTGTCTACAAGAGACAATAAAACCAAACATTCCATCATGCCTGCATGGTTTGTAACTTTATAATTGTAATGATGTTGATAAAACCTGTAGATTTTTATAAGCCTGGTCAAGGTGGACTTAAGACTTGCTCAATTTAATTTACCTTTTCAGAGTACAATTTGTTCCTTTCCTGTTCTTTACGCAGCAGCTCGTGTGTGTGCTGTAACTCAAAACGGGTCTCCTTCTCTTTGTCACGGAGCTGTACAAGCTCGGAAACATGGCTACTGTTACGACTTTCCTGGTTATCCCGGATCTCTTTCTCCTAAAGATATTGAAATTTTCTGAATGTGTGAGAGAATATCTTACAGATAAAAAAAGAATACTGATGAGTTAAAACAATCATGCATCATTTAATGAATAGGTAGGTTGATTTTTGGGATCCAATGTTATGAAAAAGAGGTTAACATGTAAATATATCAAAGTATTGGTGAGAAATTTTTAAAAAATCCAAAGTTTGGAGTTACTTCCCTTTAATCATACACATAAAACAACAGAAGACATTGTTGATGAACTAAATGATTGAACACTTAATAATTTTGAATTTATGTAACACAACAAAAAAGTAATCAATAGAAATTGCTCTGCAAATTTACAAAAAGTTCTGTGGCTAAATCTCTCAAACAGCTGTAGAAAATTGTTGCAATATATTGCAACACTAAGAATCATATTACAACATTTTGTCATTGAACAAATACTGAGATATATTGACTATAGCAATATTACTGCCCTAATGGATTTATGAAGTATATCTCAAATGAAAATTATTTTGTGTTCACCTAGAAATTGCAGATTGGAATTTTCCTTATTCAATTTAAGTCTAAATAATCAAACATCATGCAAAAGGATAAAATATTACTGCAACAACTGAGCTTTTACAGTGGACTTGACCTACCCTGATGAGCTGACTCTCAACATCCTGCAACTTTTGACTGAGGAGAGCATTTTCTCGCACCAAGTTGGTACTATCTTCAGACATCTTTGTTTTCAAGTAGCGGTCGTGGTCTGCATTCATCTCGGTCTCTTTCAACTTTTGTCGTAATATTCTGATTTCTTCCTGAATATAGAAAATACTATCATAATGCTTCTATTTCATACTTATTTATACTTTTTAGTAAACAAACTCATGCACTTAAATAAATCAATTGACAGAATATTTGATTGGTTAGGAAAACCATAGCAATATCATTAAATCATAAAATGGCATGTCAACGTTGATAGCATCATTTCAACTGAAAATTTTACAGAAATATTATGGCTGAGGCATGTTATCATCAGATCCAACAAGTGTATTAAAGAAGCTTGAAAATTGGCCTTGATGATTCAAAGAACTTCCAATTCGATGTTAAGCATCATGTAGGGGTCATCAAGTACCAATACAATGATTTTTTACGATACCATAGCCTGGGGACAGAATCAAGTTTTCTTCACTTGCTCAAAATAATGTCATGCTAGTGCCAATATTAGGAAGAAATATAATTCATGAAATATAATTCAAGAAGGATGGAAGAGAAAATTATCCAAATTTTGTCACGCTTGAGTTGATGATCATACAATGGGTGCAATCCTGTATTCTTCCTGCAGGAAATCATATAGATGGACTTGACCAGTTCTTTCATAATGTGATTACTTTTGATTTCTATGCTAAATTCAGAGTATACAGGTCTTGTGAACAGCACTTCATGGAACACTGCATGTGTCCTTGACCTTTGAATGTATTTGGTTTTGTTGACCTTTGAACTTACTCTGAGATCATTAGTGATCTTATCCTGTATCTGTACTGTGTTGTTGTAGTATTTTTCCTCGATCTCTCGTAGCTGAGTTTCTGTACTCAACAATTCGGAGCGTTTCTCATCCAAGGCAATCTGAGTCATCTTGTGCTGCTCTGTTCTCTGGTCTAACTGAAATGTTCAAAACATTGTTTTGATACAGGATAACAACAGTTACTGGTCAAAGATTCATATTTGATCTGACATAAACAGACTTATACTGAATTATGTGTCTCACAGTCCAAACTTGACATTACACAATGGCTCCCAAAATACATGAAAATCAGAAAATCTTATTGAATATGTAAACTATCTTGTATAAAATGTAGAGAACCAATAAGAAATTAGGAGCAGATCTGAAGCACTGAAAGAGCTATCACAAATTCTTACATTCCAGAAAAAAATTATTATTTGACACCCAAAAATAAGATTTTAGTATCCTAAATCTGCATTTTTATCATCAATATAATGCAAAGTAAGACAATAACTTCTGCATGACCATGTGACAAAAGCTTTTTTGGACTCACATTTCTGAGATAGTGAAGTCAAGAAACTAAAGTTTTTTTCAGCTAATTTTGCAATAATCTACGAAGGTCATTACTTGTGTTTCCTCATAGTGACCTTACAGAAGAGTATACAAGGCAATGTCATTTTCATGGCTTTGGGCAAACAATAAAAACAAAATGTAACATAAAAATCATGGATTAAAGAATTACATATAATGTAATATGAACAAAATTTTTTACCCTCAAAAGGAGTCTGGATTATTCAGTATAACCATGAAAGAAAGTACCCATGAACATTTTACACAATAAACAAGGCAATCCAGTGAATTAAAGTCCCTACCAACATACCAAGGTGAACCCATATGCCAAGTATTAAGTTCCAGTGACAAGTAGTGTAGGAGACAGATCCCAGGCAAACTTTTTTTATGTAGGTCAAAGGTTAAAATATAGGTCACAGTTACCTATTTCTGATATGCTACAAACCGTCCCATATCTCAAGTTCCTGTGGTTAGAATGTAGAATATAGGATCAAGAAAAGATAGTTGAAAGCTGGAGAGAAGGACAGACAGACACAATGCAAAACAATATGTAGTTGTATCTACCTGAGTTTTGAGTGTTGAAATTTTGAGCTCTGCATTTCTTATAGCTGTAGCACTCATATCAAGTTCACGTCGAGCATCATTAACTTGACCATCTTTGTTTGTCAAGTCATGCTCCAATACATCCCGTGTCTTTTTCAAAGCAATGATCTCATCCATCAGTTGTCTTTTGTCGCGCTGTCGACACACTGTCAAAACATGTGCAATTGTAAAATTAATTTAGGTTACATGCCACATTAGATTATATCTGTGTTTTTTTTCATAGTTATCTTAAGTGAGTTCAAATGTTTTGTGTGTTGAGTTAGGCAGTGACTGACCAAATGCTTCAAATTAAACAGGGTCTTTGAGTAACACGAGTTCAAGATAACGAGATTCAACTGTAGAGCATGTCGTATCAATGGATCACTTGTATCATCCTTATGTAAAAGTGTACTTAATCATTTATGATTTCTGTTAATGTAACTTAGAAGCTAATAATGATGATATCAATACATGGCATTTCTTTGTGTATCATTTTGTATCAATTTGTAAAGTTTCAACATAACAACAACATAATTTTAGATATTTTCTTCTTGACAAGATACACTACCTTATCGCTTATTGTGATATTAACATGTACCCACAATTTTGTATTTTCCTAAATTCAAATTCTTTTTTATATATATTTATATGCTGTAAAACTGATTCACTCATTAATACTTCATCATAAACTTAACATATACTTATCTACCTGCTGGTTTGGCAATTTGAAAGCAACTTGGTTGACAATAAGGTGATTTGGAAATAACTTGGTTCAACAGCAACATAAATGGAGATGAAACAGCAAAATGAATTATTTGGTATCAGTTATCTCCCTTTAGTTACAGCTAATCTTAAAGCCAAACTCCTATCCTAGAAATTCTTATAAATATATATGTAAATGTAAAACATGTACCTTCTTCGTCCCTTAGTCGTTCCTCCAATTTCTCCTTCTCACAGATAGACTGAGCGATTGATGAATCTTTACTTTTACACTCAAGCTGAGCATTGTCTACCTCTGTCTGCATTGTCTGAAACACCACAGAGTTGGGAAATAATATCCGTGTAAAGATATAAGATATATACATCAGTTCTGTGATTACTTTTGAAAATGTGGCTAATTGGGTGAGAGATGATCAGCTAGTAATCTGATGTAAGAGTTGTGTTATATTTTAAAAACACTCCTTCTTAATAGAATAAAGAATTTCAGCAAATTCAGGCTGTTCAGCACTTCTTGACAAAAAATTAGGGCTAAATTTAAGGCTAAAATTAAACAATTTTAGGGCAAATTTAGGGCTAAAATTAGAAATTTTGTAATCAGAATAGGGAGTATGAAAGCATTAAACTGACTTACCTTTGCAAATTTGACAAAATAGAAACTAATATACAATGCCTTAATTGCAGGAAAGGTGTCTTCCAGGGTTTCAGTGCCCCAGCTGCTGTTGGCTGTGACCTTAAGAATCATACCTCTGTCACTCAGTCACAACCAATAACAATCTGGGTACATAGATCCACTGGTCAACTGCCTTTCATTGGCTACCCTGAATTAGAACTACAGACTACATTAAAATACATTTTAAGCATGAATTTAATGAAAACATTTTCAGTAACTTGTAAGAAATATAAAAAAAATTAGGAACAGAAGTGGAAAAATTAGGGCTTTTTTAGGAATTCCCTTTGAATTTTTCATTTTTTTAGGAATTTTAGGGACGCTGGACAGCCTGCAAATTAAAATCAATAGGGCATCAATGATAAGATATGCTGGATGGACACACACCATGGTAAAATCACCAGTCCTTTGGACCAGGTCAGCTAAAAATTACAGAATCAGAGGGAATTATCAGTCATAGCAAAGTTGAGAGTTCAGACCTTGCTATGGATTATGTGTATATTACTTTTCTAATTAAGTGTACAATACAGCCTTTGACCTCTTTGATATAGACTTGGAACAAACCGAACTGGAAGACAGCATTGGAAACAGAGACATTACAATGACAACACCCAAATACTGGTAATTATTACTGAATACAGCCAATATAAAGAGATCAGATCAAGTATTTGTACAGCTAAATAAGGAAACTACATACAAGCATACTTATCAATGGAATGTAAAAAAATGAACTAAAACCAATATGTAAATTGACATAATAGGGATACATAGTTGAAGAAGGTTTATACATCAATATAAATACTTACTCTTAACTTAACCAGCATCCTCTCTGCTTCAGCTGTCATCTGTGGGTGCATCTCTGTCGCCTTACGTGCCTGCTCCCGAGTAAACAGAGGTCAAGGTCAAACATTGAACACACAATATGCTTTTATACAACAAATGATGAGACCATCAGTTTGACTCCTACTCCTAAACTCATTTACAATAACAGTATTTTTTTCACATGAGGATATTTTGACAGGTCATTTTGTCACTTAAAACTATATTTTCAGGAATACACATGTAAGAGGCTTTCTTTTAAAATCACCTGCTCTTTCATTGGTAGGTAATATAACAGAAATATGGGGTAGGGAGTTTCCCTACAAAAAGGGTGTGAAATTTAAAAAGGCATCATATGTCGTCATTGGGAAAACAATGGCGGCTTCAAATATCCTCATCAAGTGGTGGAGAATATTGAGTGCCAGTTGATAAAGCATTACCCTTAGCATCTCTGATAAGTACTGGAAGTACAAAACAGCTGCTATATCTAATTCTAAATTTATATTGAAAATTGTTATTCAGTTGTTTGTCCTCTGTAAAATTCTTCCATATGAATTGTGTCCTGGGATTTCTTGAGCAAAAAAAGGATATAGATAGTTTGACTCGAGCTCCAGGAAATATATTTGTTGTTGTAAATTTTTTATGTACTCTGCTTCGATGTTTCCAAGGTCATGTGACCCTGACCCAGACTTGTTCAGTTTTCTGTACAAATAAAAAATGTGTTGTAATTACCGATGTGAAAATAAAAGCCTCGATATTCTAGGCCATTATTATAACACAATCAACAGAATTATTCTTAAGTCTGAAACTGGTGTGAAGGTTGACTCCCCAAAACAGAATTTTCAGGTCAAGTTTGGTTTATATATATTCTGATATATCCAATTAATTTGTACATGTAAAACAGAATTGATCCTCATACAACACATACTATAATGTCAGTGTTTCAGGAAACAAACCTAATCTGAGAGATATCCCACTTTTACAATGCTAAAAATTTATAAGTTGAAAACATTCATTCTGGAAAAGAAAATCGGGGAGAATTTAGTTAAAATCTCTATTTTGTAATTGAAGATTTATGTAAAATCAGAAATCAATTTGAGAATTACTGAAGAAAATATTAAGATCCTGCGAAATCTCATATAGTTTTTATCTAAATTTGTCTCCAGGTTCCTTTCAATCAATTTAGATTTTTTCAAGTTGCTTGCTAGATTTCATCAATTTAAGCCCTTGGCACCACTGACAAATCTTAAAAGACAAAAGTGCTGTATTCATCATAGGGCTCTGAGGAATCTAGCTCTAAATTGTATTGAAATTCACAACTTTCTTGTCTGTACAATTTTAATCAATCTTAGCAAGAGTGTATACACAGAAATAGTAATAACAACCAGAACATCATAGAAAAATGATATCTACATTACACGTCGACAGGATCTCACATGGCTTTCCATATATGTGAGATCTATGAATATATATAACAACAAATGCAAGATTCTGTTTATAACACAGGATAGATATATTTGCAAATATTTTTGAAACTGACATCTTATTACACTGCTACAAAATCCAAACTGGCAGAATTCTTTCTATTTCTCTCTGTCTATCTCCCACTCCAACTTTTCTCTCTCCTTCTCAATCAAAACAATGGAAATCTTCAGCCAATTATATTTCTACTATGTCATATTAAAAGTGTGTACTAACAAAAGTCCGGAGTATTATTACACTGACAACAATGTAGCTGTGTGATAAATATCAGTAATGACATTCAAACCTTATATAAATACATACCCACTGCTAGCAGTTCCATTAAATGTGGCTGCTAGATTACCGGTCGACTTTCGTAATCCAGCACTGGAGCTAGACTTTGATTTCTTCATCTTTGTGATGGAATGTTTCGGTATACCTGCACTGGATGGGACGTCAGTCAAATAGACCCCTGATACACAGAAATGATATATGTAGTAACAAGATTATTATTCTGTATTCAAATATGAATTGATAACAAAATCGCAAAACATTATATGTACTTATTTTGAGCTTTTAAAATTTTGAATGAACTACAAGCAAAATTAAATATATATGTAACATTTCTGCAAATGATCACATTTCATTTTCAAATCTTTCATAATTGTTTTTACCAAACGATTTTTCAAAAGTTGAAATCATTAGGAAATTACCCAGAAACATGAAATGAAAAAGTCTTACATATACTGTCAAATTCAGCGAAGGGCCTAGACATTCAGAGATAGGAAAGCCCTATGGATTGCATGTTTTTCAAATTTTTGTATCATAAATTTTTCTTGCTTGAAAATTATTGACATTTTGATGTTATTTTACAAGTGTGCAATTTCAGATTTTCTTTTTCCATAAGTTCTTGCATAAATCAGAACCAAAGCTAAAATGCGTCCTGAAACTTCCAAATTTGAACCTGCGGCCATATTGACCATTTCAGATTGTTGTCTGCACCATATCTGGTGATACTTGATGCATTCAAGAATTGCAATTACATTGAAAATATAGTCACCACGGATACTATTTGATTTAGGTATTTCATATTTTGATTTTTGAACTTTTGAAGCCAAAGATTCTACCAAAACTATGATGAAAATTTCTCATTGAAATTATTTTTACTTAACAGACAGGAAGTAACTTCAAGCAAAATCAATTGACAAATTCTCTATAACAGAACTACTGATATACCACAGGTTTATGCTTAAAATAAATAAATCCTTTTGATCAGAGGAAATTACTTATACCAGTTTGTTTAACAAAATCTATGCTGTAATTTTGAAGTTTATCTCCATATCTCACATCCTTAAATTGACCACAGAAAGTTACATTCTCAAGCCATTCTTGACCAGTTGCTGTAATAAAGAACAAAGAGGAGATACCATTTAAATGGCTCTAAAGCTCACTGAGCTTGTGTACAATCAACCTAAGGGAGGTCAGTTGACTGAAAAGGGGTTTATACCAAGGTTTTCATATAGAGGAAAACAGTAGTAAGGGACCAATTTTATTGGGTGAGGTATGGAATGTTAGTTTTCAATTGATGTACTGTCGAGATTATGTGAATAAAAGACATACCCGTGCATGCTTTCTAAAATACAGTTAGTGAATTAGCAATGGTCAGTTTAGATAAGCCTACTACACAGTTCTACACATGCTTGATTACAAGTTTATCTACAGCCTTAATACATTACCTGTTAATTTAGAGTCCATTAGAGCTCATCACCCCAGGCTTCAAAATCCCTAATATGTAGATTATCTGTCTCTATACATAATTGTGACATTACTTATACTTAATCTTAATATAAAGGTATGATATTACCTGTTGATCACCTGTCTCAATACACAGGTATGACATTACCTGTTGATTACCTGTCTCAATACACAGGTGTGACATTACCTGTTCATTACCTGTCTCAATACACAGGTGTGACATTAACTGTTAATTACCTGTCTCAATACACAGGTGTGACATTAACTGTTAATTACCTGTCTCAATACACAGGTACGACATTACCTGTTGATTACCTGTCTCTATACACAGGTATGACATTACATGTCCATTACCTATCTCCATACACAGGTGTGAGATTAACTGTTAATTACCTGTCTCAATACACAGGTGTGACATTAACTGTTAATTACCTGTCTCAATACACAGGTGTGACATTACCTGTTAATTACCTGTCTCAATACACAGGTGTGACATTACCTGTTAATTACCTGTCTCAATACACAGGTGTGACATTACCTGTTAATTAACTGACTCTTTATGATATGATAGTTAAACTGTTAGTTAACCTATTTCTATAAAATGTGTGAATAATTTAGATATTTAAAATAATTCATTAATTGGTATCAGATTGCAAATATTTTAGTAACAATAATGATATAATAAATCAATTGTGTAGTCTGATTTAAATCAGTATAAAGTCCAATTTTACTAAAATGTGTGAAGTAATTTTACTAAAATCAGGATGCAAATATTTTAGTAATAATAATAATATGTTAAATCAATTGTGTAGTCTGATTTAAGTCAGTATAAAGTCCAATTTTACTAAAATCAGGATGAAGTCCAATTTTACTAAAATCAGGATGAAGTCCTAAAATCAGGATGAAGTCCAATTTTACTAAAATCAGGATGAAGTCCAATTTTACTAAAATCAGGATGAAGTCCAATTTTACTAAAATCAGGATGAAGTCCAATTTTACTAAAATCAGGATGAAGTCCAATTTTACTAAAATCAGTATGAAGTCCAATTTTACTAAAATCAGGATGAAGTCCAATTTTACTAAAATCAGTATGAAGTCCAATTTTACTAAAATCAGGATGAAGTCCAATTTTACTAAAATCAGGATGAAGTCCAATTTTACTAAAATCAGTATGAAGTCCAATTTTACTAAAATCAGTATGAAGTCCAATTTTACTAAAATCAGTATGAAGTCCAATTTTACTAAAATCAGGATGAAGTCCAATTTTACTAAAATCAGGATGAAGTCCAATTTTACTAAAATCAGGATGAAGTCCAATTTTACTAAAATCAGTATGAAGTCCAATTTTACTAAAATCAGTATGAAGTCCAATTTTACTAAAATCAGGATGAAGTCCAATTTTACTAAAATCAGGATGAAGTCCAATTTTACTAAAATCAGGATGAAGTCCAATTTTACTAAAATCAGTATGAAGTCCAATTTTACTAAAATCAGTATGAAGTCCAATTTTACTAAAATCAGGATGAAGTCCAATTTTACTAAAATCAGGATGAAGTCCAATTTTACTAAAATCAGGATGAAGTCCAATTTTACTAAAATCAGGATGAAGTCCAATTTTACTAAAACCAGTATGAAGTCCAATTTTACTAAAACCAGTATGAAGTCCAATTTTACTAAAACCAGTATGAAGTCCAATTTTACTAAAACCAGGATGAAGTCCAATTTTACTAAAACCAGGATGAAGTCCAATTTTACTAAAATCAGGATGAAGTCCAATTTTACTAAAATCAGTATGAAGTCCAATTTTACTAAAATCAGTATGAAGTCCAATTTTACTAAAATCAGTATGAAGTCCAATTTTACTAAAATCAGGATGAAGTCCAATTTTACTAAGTATCTGTCAATTGGAGTATCAAAGTAAATTTAGTATCTGATTTCAATCTGTTTGAAATAATTCAAAGCTTAATAATATCAACATAAAATTAATCATGAATAAACACACATAAAACATACAACAGCATGACATAGTTTTAATGAAAAGATTGGAAAAGGTTTCAAAATCAAAGGAAAGTCAGGCATTGTCAGATGGCATGCTGATTATACCATCTATTTCTGTATAAAAGGCTTCACAAACGGCACTTTGAATATCAACACAGACCATCACAAATAACAGTTAATTTATTAACGTAAAGAACACAACAATAACAACAACACAAAATATGTAAACATTTCACTGCTGCTATCATTTATAACACTTCCAAGTTACTATCAATAAAATAAGCCCACAGACCCCCCTTACTCTAAAATAAATATAATGTTTTATTTCGAATCACAATAGAAAGGGCTGGATATAAATAAAACAAATTTTGGGTACTCCTGAAATTTTGTCAACACATAAGTGTTCTGATCCAATACAAAGCGTACAAATGTTTATTTTTGATAATGAAAATACACTGATGTATTACTGTACCCATTCATGACAATAATCTGGTCAAAAGTTGCTATAATTATACAACATGCTTTAGATATCTAACTCTAGCTATACAATGTATGTTTGTTTATACACCATCATAACATAACCCTTTCATTATAACAACTGATATGTTTTTAAATGATGAATGTATTCTGCAATATGCCCATGCATTGTAATAAACTTGCTTAAATATCAAAGGGTGATAGACAGAATTGAGAAAAAAGTTTGACTATGTACCAATCTGTATGAAAAATGAAAAAATATATTTGTTGCAATTACTTTGATGCTACACCATAAAATGACTGGCCTTCACAGATGAGTGTTATTTCATTGTCCTGTAATAAGCCCACCTCTGGCCTTTACAGACAAGTGTTATTTCATTGTCCTGTAATAAGCCCACCTCTGGCCTTGACAGACAAGTGTTATTTCATTGTCCTGTAATAAGCCCACCTCTGGCCTTTACAGACAAGTGTTATTTCATTGTCCAGTAATAAGCCCACCTCTGGCCTTGACAGACAAGTGTTATTTCATTGTCCTGTAATAAGCCCACCTCTAGCCTTTACAGACAAGTGTTATTTCATTGTCCTGTAATAAGCCCACCTCTGGCCTTGACAGACAAGTGTTATTTCATTGTCCTGTAATAAGCCCACCTCTGGTCTTGACAGACAAGTGTTATTTCATTGTCCTGTAATAAGCCCACCTCTGGTCTTGACAGACAAGTGTTATTTCATTGTCCTGTAATAAGCCCATCTCTGGCCTTTACAGACAAGTGTTATTTCATTGTCCAGTAATAAGCCCACCTCTGGCCTTTACAGACAAGTGTTATTTCATTGTCCTGTAATAAGCCCATCTCTGGCCTTTTCTGACAAATGCTATTTCATTGTCCAGTAATAATCCCACCTCTGGCCTTTACAAACAAGTGTTATTTATTTATCCTGTAATAAGCCCATCCCTTGACTTAAATATCCTGTGGTGGACCTCTTCCTTCAGGATGAACATAAGCTACCACTAGATCTACACAATGATAATAGTCCTACATTGTTATAAATATGGTAGAGACTTATGTCATGATTACACATGTTTATGTTCTACATAGCATTACATGACAAATGGATGACATTTTAGTGAGTAGGTATAGAGATATATCATCACCTTCTACTGATTGGTTCTTATCTGAACAGGAAATCTATATACCTATATCCTCATCTTTACATTACAACTGTGAAAAAAAAATTTGAATGCACCAGAAGAAGTCTTTAATCTGAGTTGAATCACTACATGATCAAAGGCATCCTTGCTACTCCACAGGTTAGATCACTTTCACTCTCTGTACCCCTGGAACCATCCTCAATACTCCAGTGGTTACAATCAATTTCACTCTCTGTACCACTGGAACCATCCTTGATACTCCAGTGGTTAAAATCACTTTCACTCTCTGTACCCCTGGAACCATCCTCGATACTCCATAGGTTACAATCACTTTCACTCTCTGTACCACTGGGGCCATCCTCGATAGTCCAGGGGTTACAATCACTTTCACTCTCTGTACCCCTGGAACCATCCTAAATACTCCAGTGGTTACAATCACTTTCTCTCTCTACACCCCTGGATTCACCCTCTATACTCCAGGGGTTAGATCACTTTCACTCTCTGTACCCCTGGAACCATCCTCAATACTCCAGTGGTTACAATCACTTTCACTCTCTGTACCCCTGGAACCATCCTCAATACTCCAGTGGTTACAATCACTTTCTCTCTCTACATCCCTGGAATCATCCTCGATACTCCAGGGGTTAGATCACTTTCACTCTCTACACCCCTGGAACCATCCTTGATATTCCATGGGTTTTGGTCACTTTCAGTCTCTGCACCCTTGGATTTTTCTCCTGGATCCAATCAAATGACTTTTCTTGTGCCTTCAATTTTAACGGCACATGATCAAGTAGTACAGAGAGCAAAAGTGATTGAAACCCCTGGGGAATCGAGAATACCTAAAAGACAATCTTACTCTATATAGAAAGATTGTTTCTACATATATGAAAACAATTGATGAGAAATAATTCACTCTCTGTGCATGGGAAATCAATTTTCAAACATGGAATAAAAGATTAAATGATTTTATCTGAACATTTGAAAAGGGTTATGTTACAACTTTAAGTGTATCTAGCAAATTCAATCTACGTGCAATTGGTGTGCGACTCTCACATGTGGTACAATTTTTTAGTACAACCTTGAAGTGAAAGCTTGTGGACAGAGCTTATCTACCATCGCTTTACAATCAATAGATGATTTTTATAACTTGTATGTTACCTTTGTTTGAAGCAGATTCGTTTTCATCTGAAATAATTTGTTGACAATTGTATACCAAGTTAAATACAATTTCATACTGCTAAACATACAAATACAAATAAATTTGAAAAAAAAATGAGATATGAAATGACATGCACTAACTGTTTTTGCTATATATGGGTTATCTCCCCTTATAAAAAGATTGGAAGAAGTTCACAGCCCGACAAAGGTAGGCAAATTAATTACGCCTGCATAAATATGCTAAACCATCCCCCATTAAAAAATTGTGTGCACTGATGTTTAATTTCATTATTTCATAGAAATAAAAACAAAATTTACATTTTACCTTCCTCAGAGACAAATATTTCAAAGGTGACATAAATGTTGGGGTATATTTAATAATTTCATTAATTTCCAACAAAGATACCAGTGAAGATTCCATAATGCTTACATTTACATTGACTTGAGAAGAGAATATATGCATGTGAGTCACATTTTATCTTGATATTAACTGATCTACCCTTTAACTGAACTTTACGTACTGTCTTTGGGTCTGTTCTGTACAAATAGAAAGACACAAAATTTAATATTCTTGGGAAGTTTTATCTGACTCCTAAAAAATTAAATAATACCTTGAACTCAAAAGGCTTTTGCATTCAGTATTAAAATCCATCAGTGACATGATATACTTTGTAACAGTATTACCGAAATTCTAACCATAAACCAAATCACTGCCTTTTGTTAAGTCTAATATATACACTATATCAAACTGCCATAAGTTTAAAGACCAACAAAGTGACTTCATAATGAACAGAGGACATTTTTTCAAAATTACCAAATGTTGATGAATCATGAAATAGGGAATCACACTGATTAAGTCTTAACCTGACAAAGTTAAATATTACAAAGGTGATTATTCAATATATACTCACAAAGCGTTTTGGTTTATCACTGACCAATGCTAGTTGAGAGTTATTCGATCACTTGTCGGCTAATCTTCAATACTCCTAAGTTATTTACACTGGCTAACATGTGTAAACCGGAATGTTGCCAAATTTACCATAAAATCTGGTCCTACACTTACCTCTTAAAAACTTTATAGTCTCGTCCAATTTATGAATATTTAATGGGCACCAAACCTAATTTAAATACAAATACATGCTGACAGAATTCTATATCTATTCTTAAGTGGATGTTTGCAAGACTGTCAATCACAATAGTCAAAAGGTGTTGAATGAAATTAGTGATCCGAGGAGAATCTTCTATAAACTTGATCTGTGATTAACAGATAGACTCCTGCTAAACAGGATGAAGTCTTTGTACCCGAAAACATATATTTCTTTAAAGATACAAGTTTAAGATAAGAACTTACAGATCTTCTTTTAGCAAAAATATTTTGTCATGCTTAAAAAAGTTGTGATAAACTTACTTCTTTTATTTTTTAAAAGAAATAACAAAGTTTTGAGTCACAACAGTCAATTACTTTCAATTTTGAAGTGAAAATACTCTAAAATAGAATATACTACACAAATGTTTTATCAAAAACATGCTTTTAAAATCTGGCTGGATTTCATTTCAAAGCTGAACATGCTTTATACAAACACAATGGAATTTTTGAAATCTGAGTGACCCACAACACACGTAGCATTTTAGACATGTTTGGTTTAGAAAATAAAGATTTTGAATTCTTCACATATATTGCATGCAAAAAAATATCTAATTTAAGCTTTTTTGTCTCTTCCATGTTCAAGATTGAATTTATTATCAAATTGACCATTCAACTGTTTCAATGCATTTTAGGGGGGGATCATCAGGCACTGATTTATGAAGAAACGACTCCGTAGTTGGGTTCAATGAGTAATTAAATATTGCCGTGCAGAGATAAATATATAACAAATACCATTTGTGTAATTTTGATATAATGGACCCTTTAATTAGTATTGCCACGCGTACAATTGTCTATAGTTCTATATAGTCACAGATCCATGAATATTCTATATCAAATTCTATTGTTAGATTATAAGGATCATCTTTGAGACATTTATGAATGATTTTTTTTCGCGCGAATTCACATCCTTTGTAACCTTACTTTAATATACAACAATTGCCCTTATATATCTTTTATTTACTGTATTTGCACTGAAAATTACAAATAACTTAATTACTTTCATAATATATATAGTCAGGTAAATAAAGAAGCACACCATATACTTTTTGTTTAAAGTAAATAATTTCTTCAAATATATTTTTTCAAAAAAGTTCAAGAAAAAAACCTAAAAAGTTCCTAAATGTCATGCAGTTTATGAAGAGGATTTTGTGACAAAAAAATCAGCAAATATTATTTATTTATTTACTCTGTTTATTTATCTATTCATTTATTTATTTATGTTTTGTAGAATATGGCTGTATTAGGATATACATCATAACAAAACGCATAAAGCAAGTAGATGAAGGAAAGATAACATTTTACTTGCATGTTTTTTGGTTCAAATCATAATACTGTTATCCGAGTACTCAGCAAAAATGAAAAAAAAAAAACATGTAAAAGTCTTAAGAAATGTCTGGTAATTTTCCATTAGAAAGGCCATCTTATCATAAATTCTCAAAATACAATAAAATGATTTATTGCATTCAAAACATTTTCATCAAAAAGCACTAATGAACTTTTCAATAGATGATGGAATTTAAATAATGTATTACTGTCTTTGATGCAAATATGGTTAAACAGTTTTCCAATTTTCTTTATATATCACATTTTCTATACACTCTAAATATAAGAAGCACATTGTATACACATAATCAATTTCTGTATTAGCTATCTGGCCTGTCTCAATCATAAATATTGTATGCCAGGACATTTGCTACTGTTGTGATTTTATCAATAAATGTCTGATGATTCTGTCTCTCAGGAATGGAAGGGGTTTGTTATAAGCTAAAATTTGTCTGTCTTTACAGGGAAACATTTATCACATTTTTTTTCTTAGTTTACACCTTGAATAGTTGAATACTGGGGTATACTTATATAGCAGATAATTAACTCTATAGTCTGCAGACTTGTGCAATTCATGAACTTATTTCATAAAATGAAAATCACACATTATCTCATCTACATCTAGAAAAGACATCTTTGCAACAGATCTTTGGCTTGCTACAGTGATCTATCTTAACTATATCATAGTTTATAGGACTTTTGTCCGTTATTTTTGGAAAGGGCAATTTTGACTTTTTTTTTTCATATGAGGGAGAAAGGATTCATGAAAACTTAATTTGTGAAAATTTTAATATCTTTATTCCTAAACTTGTATCTGATTCAGTGCTGCATGTGGTTTGAAAAAATGCCTTTCTTATGTTTATATTCTTACAAAAAACATATACATCAATTTTCAAATTGACCGAACAGCTGAAGTCACACTAGATTAACTGCTCTCACTTTCCCATGTTGGTAAATTAGCTTTAAAGTCTATCTAATCGTGGCACTTTTCATGGACATTTAAACACCTTTTGATAGTTCACAAAATCTGACCTTGATCTTCAACAAGAGAAAGCCACTGATGTACATGTATACACGCTAAGATTACATTTTCAGACTGGATTTTTTTTTAAGACGATTCTAGTCACTGAAAGTTTATATAACTAATTTTAATTTATTGTTAAAATCATGCATTCTTGTGAATATGTTTTACTAATGAGAAAACATGCTTCTACATGAATTCTTTAAAAATGAAATAATATCTATTATAAATGTTACAATGAAATATAAAGCACTATCATGATCTTGTGAAACAAAGAAAAGGTAATATTATGGGCACCATGCTTACATCTATTACTAATTTTATAAAACATCATTCATGAATATAGATAATTATTTCCAACTTTGTACGCACCTCTGGCACTTAAGAGTCTAGTTGGAGATGGACTCCGAGATCTCAGGCCATTCATTCTAGTTGGTGATGGACTTCGTGAACGAAGTGTTCTCGACCACTCGAGAACGTCTGGTGGTTGAACACCTATTGGCATGGTTATCCTTCCAGGGTCTGCCATATTTTCAGTAACTTACGACGATTTCAGTATTTCGGTAGATTTGCCTTAGACTTAAGTGTACTTCACAAACAACTGTCGCCAAACAGGATCTTTATAGTTGTCTTGCTAAGCTCTAAAATACTTTAAAATAAAGTTGATACACACGATAAGCACAGCCAACCAACTCATATATATCTTGTCGTTTGTGAAGCCTTTCAGTGAATCAATCACCGTTATTTGATAACGGACTGATACTTATATTAACAAAGTATTGACATACATAGAGGTATTGCTGAACACAAAATAGGCGGAGCTACAAATAGACCCGCTCTGACGAGGGTGGAAATGTTCACAAGAAGTCAAGATTAGTTCTACTGGGGACGAGGGAAATAGACGTTTGAACATATCAGTTATATAAGTACAGTGGGGAAATGCAGATGAAGTTATATTAGAGGTGACATTTATTATGCAAAAAATATTCAACTTACCACCCTGCAGTTTCTCCGAAGACCTTAGTCCATCTACTTTTCCAAATGTTGATGTTATCCGGGACATGATTTTCACAAAACAAGTCAGGATCTGTTTTTCTTCAGTCGGATATCCTTGGACGTTTACTATACTTTAGCCCATGACTTCCGAATGTTGTTGTCCATTAGCAACGGGTTTTATAAAATTGGTGTTAGAGCGAAACGAAACTGTTGGACTTCATAGCATGGACTTAAACATAACTAATTCCATGTTCATGGAAACAAATCAGATAATTTCTCTCGACTAAATTTAGAGAGCACTATTGGGTACATTACCTATATATCGGAAATAACTGCACAGTGAAAATATTAAAGCGCGTGGTTAAAAATAGCCAGGTCTCTCCAAACGACAACTCTGGGAACCAAGTTCAAAGATTTTATTTGACGCTCAGCAGGGGTTCGAATGATTTTCTAAGTATGTTTTTTTACCTAAAATCTATAACAAATCATTCCAACTGAGAAACTCTTAACAAAGCCAGAAATATTTCCCTTCATTACTTTAAAGGTAATGCAGTGCTGTTGTTCGGAATAGCTTTAACAGTAGACCGAAAAATCCTGTCTTTAATATCAATGATGTTTTTTCATTGACTATCAACAAAGATGTAGATATCAATAATAGCAAAAGAATATGAATACTGACATTTATTTATCATTTTTGTAAGAATTTGGAAAGAATGTTTCAACCATTTGATAAATTATCGAAAGTGGAGTATTCAAGCGCGGGTCCAGGATTCTGGGAAAGAGGAGGGCACAATTATATTTAATTTCTTAAAATTTATTTTATTTTGTTGTCTATTGTTTTGTTTTTCGTTTTCTGTTTTTTTTTTTTTTTTTCGTTTTTTTCTACCCGATTCTACCCTTTACCGTTTTTTTTCAAAGAAGTGAAATCACATGTATCGTGGAGAGTGATAAATATGTAGCCAATCGTGAGTGCGGGCCTACTCAAAGGTAAAGCCCAGGCAGGGGGTTAATTTCATTTTATCAAAATTTATTGACAATATTGCATAGTCAGTTGGATTGAATAACAAGCAAAAGCTATATAAACTCTGTCCATCAAAATCCCAGAATAGGATAAACAATGATCAATAGATTATGAATTGTATGAAATATTTCAGACAATTTTTGTATGAAAATTTGATACATAAAAGCAGGGACGTTCCTGAGAAAAGCAAGATTAAACAAAAATAAGGGGAAGTAACTCATGATGAAACACATCATACAAGTACCTAGACGGAACGAAGGGGGAAGGGGGTTTCCACACAAAAAAATGTGGAAAGCAATCAGGGTGAAGTTGCAAATAATTTACTTTATGAATGGGTAAAGGCAGCTACGCGCCTAGAGCTCAAGAGAGCATTCCTTTCATCCTTATATGTAAGATCATATTCGCTTCTAAGGTTTTGACTTAAAAAGGCAATTTCGTGCGAGAAATGGAGGAATCATTTTCGCAAATATCGAATGTGTAACTGTCAGCATTCCTTAATCCCTGTTGTTTGATGTTGTGGAAAATCGAAACCGAAAAATTATTCAACAGAATACGCAGTTTTCTTTTCGACAAACTAACAAAATTTCATGTTGATGCTTTCTCATCCATGTTTAGTTTAGTGTAATTGGAAATGCGTATAATGTGCGACAACTATTGAAATTCTTTTTACAAAAACGTACAGCATATGAATAATGATATTCCTTTCTTCAGGTCCGTTCTTACGTACTTGAATAAATGCAGACTAAAGGGTATTTTTGGGTAGTAATATAAAGTAACCAATTGTCAGTCTGATTCCGGACATTACCACGATTTTTTTAAGAACACTAACATATCGAGTGTCCCCAGTTCGTATGTGTTTGAAGTGCCGTATATCTATAAGCATGTATAATAATAAAATTTCAGTAATTATTCTCGAAACAAAAAAAAATCACCCCCCCCCCCCCCCAAAAAAAAAAAAATAAATAAATAAAATAAATAAAAAAATAAATAAATAAAACAAAAAAAATCTGCCTTATTTAAGTATGAATTATATTTAGTTTCCTATCTCCAAAATGATAATACACAGTTGACTGGTACTGAGTAGAAGACATGTGGTGTTTAAAGTTATTTAATGTTGGAAATGTTCTTACTGTCATAATGGCCAATTCATTCCAAGCAAGGCGAGTTGAAGGTAGAAATGAGGAGTTTGTACTGGAAAGTCTATAGCCTGGAATTAAACAAGAGGCCCATTGTCCTTAACGGTCATCTGACCACAACAAACTTGCAGCTGGGAGAAGGGTTATTTTTTCTACTTTGGACGAAATCTTACTAAGAAGCTGTTTACCATGATGCAGATGGTAGTTTTATTGAGGAGTATGTGAGTGTAACAAGTGTTACCTATTTTTTTGACAATAAAGTTTGAGCCCAATCCTACTGGTGAAACTCGAGATGTTTGAAGTAGGTGTTTCACAGGAAAATCATGATAGCCAATCATCTTACAAAATGGCCTCCCTGGCTGCCGTATCGAAGTTTTCGGGTTAGACGACATAAAATCTAATAGGTTTCCTAAATGGTATCGGGTATTTTGACCAACAGCATGCGGCAGGATAGAATTTAGAAAATCTACAGTTAACTTTTCTATTTTCATTTTATATAAAAGGCAGAGTTTACATCGTTTCCTCCTTTCCGAAAGCGGTTCTAATCCAGTTTCAACATATAAAGATTCACTGCTTGCTATGGACTTCTGTATACCGAGTTTTAAAGATATTGGTTAAAAACTTCAATTTACTTACAAGATTATAATATTTGGTAAAACATGGACAATAAGTGTGTCTATATAATTGTTGAAGCTTATAAGTTTAAAAACAAAATGTGTCCAGACCGAGATCGCTTCAAAAAGTGTTTCAGGATAATGAAATTTCATGTCATACTTTATAACGCCTATCAAGTTCCCAATAAATTTGTTAAACACAAGATTGAAATATGCAAAAAATACTTTCTAAAATATACCACCTGGTGTACATACTGTTTACTTACAGGACTACGTTTGTGCCTCAGCGTGTTACTACTGTCTCGAAAGCTCGAGGTTGATTGATTTAGCGTCTGCCGAATTTCCTTGAAGACCAGGGCTCGTATGCATAAAAATTCTAAGTATTTTTCTTAAATGGTTACTTAAATACACTTTCAACCTACTTTACTAAGCAAATTGCTTATTTTCCGTTGCATAAAAATTCTAAGCATCATGCTTAGTTGTTTTTAGTAAAGCAGATTGCAACCTTCTTAAAATACTAGTTGCTAATGAAGCGACATACCGATTCCGGTACTTTTTGTTTACAAACAAAGGCACGTGAATAAAAGCGCGTGCCCGGTCGTCTGCTTTCTTCAATCGCATTGAAATTGTATGCAGTCAAAATGGTCTAAGAAACGAGAGAGACGCCCTGTAAAAAACGAAAACCAAACTGGACTGCCGACGAATGTCTCCATCTCACAAAACTCGTGGAGGAAAACAAAGCTGTGCTGAGATCTAAGTTTGTGGCTGGGATAACATCCCTGAGGAAACGAGAGACTTGGAAAAAGATAGCTAATGCTATCAGTGCGTCTTCCACCATATGTCGATCGACTGAGGAAGTTGAAAAAAAATTGCATAATCTCCATATGAAAGGAAAATCGGAGCTGTCCGACCACAAGAGGCAGACAACGATGACAGGTAGGTTACGTGTACACATGATATGAATTCCGATAAGTCCCGAAAATCCATTCATTCTGCACATCGTTCTGCAGACGACAATTAAGCTAGCAGTAGTTAGTGGGCTTTGCGCAAATGTACCAAATACACTTTGACATAACATGTGAAAATATAAACGTTAAAATTATCACCGCTACAAAGTTGCATTTCTCCAGTAGCATAATATCTTAATGCAATCATAACCTGCAAATGTGGAGGTAAGCTGTGGTTTCTTCCCGTCTCAGACGCGAAATCGTCTTTAACAATATCAGTAATAAAAAGATTTCCCTCCCTATCAAATCTAAATCTCTGATAAAGTTCAAATGCATCAAAGTTTTGAAGTGGGTCAAACCTGTCTCTAAAATGTCTTTCTCGTCTCAACGCCCTTGCAAACTGTTGAAGAGCATTATGCTGCCCATTTTGTTGGAGTTAAGTAACTTGCTTAGAAATTTAAGACTGGCTCAGAGGTTGTTTAAAGATAAGAATATTCTTAAAAGATAAGAAATTTTATGCAACCCAATCACAAAGATAAGCAAGATGCTAAGCACAAAATCCAATCAGCTAAGCATAGTTTTTCAACTTAAGCATATTCTTAACAACTTAAGCATATTCTTAACAACTTAAGAATTTTTATGCACACGAACCCAGAGGATTTTTATATGGACATTTCTCCTTGGTTCTGAACCACGCAAGAGATACCTCGCCCACATTTCTGCAACTTGGAAAAAGACCGATACCACACAAATACCTTGACCCACAGCCTTTCGGTTTCCGTACGTTGCTTAAAGACATTTGACCTCTGTGACCC